AACAATTTCAAAAAGGTTTTTTCTTTTTTCATTTTTCTTATATTTGAAACAAACTAGAAAGAAAGATCCCACATTTCTTTAAGTACAAAACCATTTTTTTTATTCATCAAGTAAAAAATGGTGCATACAGTTTGGCGACTCCGCTTGGGATATTTTTAAAACTAAATGTTTTTAGTGGGCATGACTTTTGCTTGAGCACAAATAATTTTGTCAAAGATAATATGTTTGCATTTTTGTTTTTGTGTGTGTTTGTTCAGTGATATGCTATTTATAATTTATGTGTACTTTATTTCTGGAATACATATTGCACATTCATAACATAAGCTCTCTACCCGAGCGTTATCCGAATTAAGTGGGAGATGTTTGCTATGCCTTCGTGAGGGCTAGTAAACCACTTCCGGGGTACAAAGTACCTATACTTTCGTGAGTAACCCTCCGTATTAGGTATAGGGAAATGCATCCCCTCGAATTAACCTCGATTCGTATAAGCCTATAATGGGTGAGAATTGAGGGTCTGGAAACCCAAGGGGGCACCAACAATAACAATTTGAGTACCCTTTTTAGTACCAAACTGTCATGTAAAGAATTTAGTAAGCTCATCCCACTAAAGTTATGTGGATAATTTAGGAGAACTAGAATGCATGCGGTCAGGGTTTTAATCTCCTTTGCGTGTTTTATTCATAGTACTTATTTGATGTCTCATATATGAATTATTCAATTATTCTTTTGTTTTTGCTAACTCACGTTTCTTTAATTATCATTTCTAATAACGTGGTTTCCTTTTGTCTTGTTTCGTGCTTCGTTGTGTTTTCAGTTTTGCATAAACATGACATCTCATCAAGGCATTGACTTTCGAAATAACTGGTCATTTAGAAGGTTATTGAAACTACAATGTCTTTCATTGGGTTAGATAGAATTTCAAAGATTTTTCTATGGACAAAACAAAGCAACATGAAAGCCTACATGTTAAGGTAACAAGCCATATTCAAGAAGATTTAACTTTGAAGGCATTAGCTAAAGATCATGAACCGGATCGACAAATCATCGCTAAGGGAGAACTAAAAGCTTTGTAATTTTTTGAAGAATCCAAATTTGTCGAAAGACGATGATCATCCAGCTACTTGTAGGAGTTGAACAACTAGGACATAAAGCTAGATAATCATTGATTTTCGCTTTCCCATAGTATCGAGACATTATCATTTCTTCAAGAATTGTTCTAGGAATAATTATTTTGGGGTCAATATATTTTGCATTTACATCTTGCATTTGTATTTGGCATTGCATTATTAAAGCATTTTTGCATGCATTCAACCGTTAGAAGATGAGATTAATGTGACGAAAATCTTGAAAGTGAATTGAAGTCATCTCGTTGTACCTAGAGAAGAATTAAAAGACATGGACATGATATTAACACCACATATGAAGCTCGGGGCATACAACTGAGAATTGTGGGGCACCGAATAGCCAAGTCCAAAATTTAATCAATTCAAGGGCATGGACCTTTAGTGAGTAATGGGGAATTCTAATACGAATAGAGAAAAAATCATTTTGTTCACCCATGAAGCTTTATTGCACTGACATTGTCTTGTTTAAACTTGTTTTTGTTCTCTCTTTATTATTGGCTTAAACGTTTTTTTGTAAATTGTTCGATGATTGAACAAATACCACATTCTAAGGTTATGAACAATGAATCAAATTTTTAATCTTGTAGTTCTTAGAATATCAATTAAGTAAGGATTCTTTTAATTCTTTTAATAATTATAGATCTTTGGTAAGTGGCAAGATTAGACCTTTCGTATCCTGTCCAAATCCAAAAGCACAATTACTCAATTATTTACCTAAATAATTTGTGACCACAACCAGAAAGGCCAAACCTAGACAATACATCTCTCTAAGACCCCACAGTTATACCCTTATCTTTTTCGAGTCACCAAATTTATTCTCCTACCTTCTCAAGCAGAGTCAATCTCATCATGGCATTACATTTTCCTAAAGATACGATTTCAAAGTCATACCCCTATCTTCTCAGGCGCAAAACCAACATTTTTCAACCTCAATAAAACTCTAAAGACATTGAGCAGAAGAAATTCATTCATTCGTGAATCTTCCTGCAAGGAAAACGAGATAGGGCATCCTAGATCAAGCTTTTGAAGATAAACTCGAATAAATGGGGCATGCTCGAAGCAAGAAGAATAAGAAATAAAGGGAACAATTGAAATAATTCTATCATGCATTAATTATATTATTGTCATGTGAATAAAAATTAATCTTGAATATCTATCCCCCTAGGGATACCTCTTTTGCAAGGACTTCTGTGTATGAAATGATGAACGACATTGTTTCATTATCCCTTCACAAAAAGAGAAAACATATCCCTTGTTGTCCCTCTTTGAACCTAAATTATTTTTCTTCATATTCAACCCTAACCAAGGATCAACCTCAACACTATGGGGCATAGGTGAAGAAAAAGTTTGCTCACATGAAAAGTGGATTCTGATTGAACTACGAGGATGAAGCCTTGTAAACTATAGGCAAGGAACGAGAAGACTTGTTTTAATCATAGAAGGGGATAGAATAATCGAGGGAGAATTGAAAAAGAAAAAGAGAGAGAATATAAAAACCTGAAGACTTCTTCGTAGATCTATGTCGATCTAATCACTTTGGAGCAAATCAGAGTCTGGATCCTTGCTTAGGAGTTGAAAAGTTTTTTTGCGGATGCCCTTATCCCTCTTCTTCGACATCAACGAGCAGTGGTCACCGCCGGTCAATGTTGGTCTCTGCGACCGAAGCTCACCGATTCTTCAAGTAGAGATATAAGAGAGAAAGTTTGTTTTTTTAAAAAGGAAGCAAGAATGACATGAAAAAAATGAAGAAAAGTGGAAATGGGGGCTTTTATATCCCATGGAAAACAACATTGTTTTGGGGAAAGGAGTCCGCACACGTAGAGGAGAGGTTAATTGTGCTTCAGGTCCCTCATCACTTGTAATCTCTCACTTTGACCATTAAATGAAATTCATATTTATTTTTTTAATTTTCACATTCAGAGCACTTATGTTTCTACCGTATTCATTTTGGTCATTGATTACTAGTTTTTCTTTGGTTTTCATTTATTTTATATTTGACTTGTAATTTTAATGTGTGTCATTTCAGTCCCTTTTCTATGTTCCCTTCAATCTTGTGCCGCTTTGTATAGAGGTTGTTTTATTTTAAATGCTTCCATTTTGATCCAATTTACTATTTAAAGTCATTTTTTTTATTTCAACGTATAGTGTGTTATTATTTTTATTTTTATTTTTGAAATGATTTTTGACTTGTTTACCATTGATATGATTTTTAAAGTTGTTGATTTTTTTCCTTGTATAGGTATATGTATTTGTCTTATATTCTATTTTAAGTTGCTTGTTATACATGAGTTAGGCGTAATATAAAATATACATACATATATATATATATATATATATATATATATATATATATATATTGTTTTAGTGTTTGGTGGTAATATATATAAATATACGTGTATATATATGGTAAGCTTATTTCATGGTTTATTAGGAATGTTCATCGCATGTACTAATGCACATATATATGTATACTTTATCTTTAATTAATTTATTATATTTATTTAAAATTATTTATTATCTATTATTTATATTTGTCACAACCATAGTCGTTCGAGGGGAACCTTTCTTACTCTGGATGTTAAGTAAGTTAAGTTATTTCGAATCAATCAATTTCTCAATATCGTAATCATTCTAAAAAGCTTGAAACATGTTTTTAATATATTCATCATATTTTCAAACAGGGTATGTTCTCAAATTTATTAGACATTCGATATTTTCTAAATGTTGGAGGATTTCAAAGTTATTTAACGAGAGAACATATATTTGATTTTCTCATAAAAACAATATCATAGGAATTTTCGGACTTTGATGAATATTTTTAAATTTTCTTAGACATTAAAAATTTTGAAATGTTCTAAAGAGTTATAAGTTCCAAGTTTTAGCACAATTAATAAAAATAAAGGTGTCTTCTTGAATGAGATTAATTGTTAGTATTATTCTAGACGTTTGAAAATGCTTGAAATCACGAATGAAAAACTTCGTCATCGAAATTTTCACATATTAATTTGTGAATTTTTAGAATTTTTTATTATAATTTTGATTCTCTTAGCCATTAGAGAATTCGAATTTATTATGGAGAATTTAAAAATTCCTTATTAACCTTAAATACATTAATTGATAGTCTAAACAAAATATTTGTGATTAAGTAAGCGTTGTTTTTACGGGCGTGGTGAGGGTGTTAACCCTTCCTCACTCACACGTAGCCGTGCCTCCAAACTCGATTTTAGTTTTCACAGACTTAAACATTATTAGTGATTCAATCACACTTAAACAGATTAATGGCGATTCTCAACATTTCTTTAAATATTAAACTAATTATTTTGTTCCCGGTAAAAAATGTCCGTACAGAATGTACCATACTTAATATAATTAGAATAAAATTTATTAAAGATCGTTAAATTATACCAAAATTATCATTTTAAACATTATATTTTTATAAATTATAAAATAATTACTAAATTTATCATATTTTAATACAATTATCGATATGATGTTATAATAAATTATAAATTTTTGATAAAATTAATGATATTCTTTCATATTTGAATATAAAACTATTGATATTTTAAATCAGTTTTATAAAATGTGATGATCATTTTATAATTATTTAAAAAATTAATATTTATTTTGTAAAATTTTAAAAAATTAATAATTAAACTAATTTTTGAGTTTAATCAGTAACTTTTGGTGTACTTTATCTAAATAGTTTTAAAAAATAGTATTTAATTTAAATTTAAATAATAATATTTTGAATAATAAATTAATTTTAAATTTAGATTATTAGTATAAAATAACAGATGTTTATATCATTTCTAATTAATCATTCGAAAGAGGATAAACAAAACACGTGTCAGAAGATGAGCCAACTTGAGTTTATTCATTACCAAAGCAAGACCGGTGGTTGTTAAAGCTAAAAGACATTGTGGTCTCCTTTGGCGTCTCTGGTTTCCGTTTATTGTACGCAACTTTCAATGGATCTTACACCCCAGCAACTTCTCCAATTCAACGGCTCCGATCCATCCAAGCCCATATACGTCGCTATCAATGGCCGCATCTACGACGTCTCCGCAGGAAAATCCTTCTACGGTCCCGGCGGCGCCTACGCCATGTTCGCCGGCAAGGACGCCAGCAGAGCTCTTGCGAAGATGAGCAAGAACGAGGAAGATATCTGCGCCAATCTCGGTGGCCTCTCCGAAAAGGAGATGGGAGTGCTCAACGATTGGATCAAGAAATTCGAAGCTAAGTATCCGATTGTCGGCCGCGTTGTCTCCTGAAATCTCCCTTCATGTTGATGTGTTTTGTTTCTGGGAAAATATATGCCCAATTTACTTTGAGTGTTCTGAAGACCATGGTGATCTATCGATTAAATGTCTTTGGTGTTTTAGCTCAGAACAGTTTAAGGTTAAATAAATGGGTGAAATTAATCGAGAGTGTGTTGTATGTAGTTGCTTCCTTTGTTTGCTTCTTGGTCGTTAATGGTGATGATTGCCTTGTTATTGGTTTATCAATATTGACTATTTTGGTCATGCAGTTGCTTGTAGAATTATTGCTGTGTACATCGTGACTATGGTCATACGGTCTCGATTGTGGATGTTATGGATATTAGGATCTGAATTAATCATTTTAGAAGCCAAAATAGTTTTAAGGGTAAATTATAAGTTTAGTCCTTAAACTATTAGTTTTTGGTTAACTTTAATACTTAAAGTTTCAATTTTTTAAAATCACATTTAAAATTTAATTTTTGTTTCATTTTAGTACCTATGTTCAAAATTTGACGTTAAGTTTTGGAAACAAATTAAAAGTTTAGGTACTAAAATAGACCAAAATTGATAGATTAGGTGCTAAATGCGTTAGGTTTTTAATGGTGGATACTAAAATGAAACAAAAATTAAACGTCATGAATGGTTTTAAAAAAATTAAAAGTTTAGGTAATAAAATTGATCAAAACTGATAGTTTAGGTATTAAATGTGTAATTTACCCTAATTTTAAATCATAAATACAAAATAATGTTGAAAAGTTTTTTAAACAAAAATAATGTCAAAAATTTAAGAAATATAAATAGTGTATAAAAATTTTAAGAAAAAGATGTAGATTACTCTTAGTAAGTCTAAAATAGGTGATCGATCAAATGTATTTGTTCTTAAAAGTTATTATAATAAGATAGTCATTATCATAATCCAAAGTAGATTGTTTGGATTTTGAATCTAACTTTTTTATTTAAATTTGATTTCAATTTAAATTTGGAACAAAAATTTATATTTGACAAGCTGGACATGAATTTAAATGATAAAATAATAATTTAATTAAAAAATTATAAAGAAATAGAGAAATACAAAAAAAATTATATTACTTATGATTTTAGATTGGATCAAAGAATTTTCACTCTAAAAATGAATTTAATCCTCGCAGTCTGAGCCTAAATCTTTGGGGAAAAAATAATCAGACATTAATAGATTGGATAGGTTCAAAACATATCTAACTTGAATCAAACTACCATCCTAATTATAACTAAGATACCTTCCACTTGGTATAAGCCGAACTCCAATGGATATCAAACTCACACCAATGCCCCCAAATGAAAACTACGGCTTACCTCAGCATGGACATAAATGCAAGCTTACGGCCGTAAAGCACCAATTAAAAGATCGATTTTCAAGGTGGTCGGCCGGTGCTGATCATCGACTCCTGGAGTGCAATCGCGCATCTTCCTCCAACGGCATATATGTAAATTCAGATCGGCACCTTGGAGATGAATGACTAAAATATCCAAAGGCACCGCCGTTCTCGATCTTCTATGCATGATATGGTTTTACTTTACTGCCGTTGATGAGATTATAATACCTGCAGTCAGTACAGGGTCTAACGGCGGTGTTGGAGTGGAAATCGCCGATAGCATCATCTGCTTTATACAATATTTTTATTCACGGTGAACAGGAGAAACACGGCAGGAACATGGAAAAGGTGAGAAGGTGTTTTTAGGCTAAGGCTCAGCTCATGTGCTTTCATAACAGATTGGATCGAATCAAGATTGGATTTTATGCATATGATCATGGATTCTTATGTACTAGTTTGATTTATGAAGTTTTTTTTTTGTATAAATTTGATTTTATTATCCAAGAACCAAAGTCTGGTACATGCTCAAAATCCCAATAACCGATACAACTCTAAATAATTACAACCTACATACAAAAGAATTATCGGTTAACCTATACCCCAAGCATTACAAAGTTGAATATTAACACAATCTAATCGGTTAATTTTCTTTCCTCCGAGTTGAATCCCTACTATCTCTTTGATAGCTTTAAAAATATCTTATGGTGATCTGGAGCATCCTTGAAAAAGACGTTTGTTTCGTTCCTCCCAAACGGTATAGATAAAAGCGCACCACGAAAGCTTAAGGATAGTGGTAAGCAGGGATTTCCCTCTCCATGATTCACAAACTTGTACAATCATGTCCTCCCATGATAGAGAAGAATTTCTCAATCTAGTATGAAGCAGCACTTGATTCCATACATGAGAAGCTAAATAGCAGTAAAAAAACAAATGATCTCTAGTTTCAATTGCTTCATTACAAAGACAGCAGTTCACATCATTAACAATTCTCATTCGTTGTAAACGAGCTCTAGTGGGGAGTCTATCTAACAAAGCCATCCATGTAATCATGCTATGTTTAGGACTATGTAAAGGATACCATACCAATTTATGCAAAGAGGCCTTTTCTCCTTTCTCCCTTATTTCCTTCCAAATAGATCGAATATTCTGTGCTGCAGCAGCAAATACAGCAACAACTTCTGTTATTGTTTTTAGAATACGGTTTAAGCACCAGCTGTAGGAAGAATTTAATTCAATTTGCCAACACTAGCTATAGGAAGAATTTAATTCAATTTGCCAAAAATCTCTATCCTTTAGAACATTTTCTTTGATCCAATCAACCCACATGGAACCTTCTCCAGCAAGTATTTTCCGGATTAGGCTGATCATACAAGACCTATTCCAGCTTTTTAAGTTTTCCAAACCGAGCCCTCCTTTTGACTTCGTTTGGCATATTTTAGACCATTTTACTCTTGCACCAACAGTTGATTTATCAGTTCCTTTCCAAAAAAAACCTGGAGCATAGTTGTTCGATATTGATAATGATAGCTTGAGGTAAAACTACCTGTCTACACCAATAGTTTACAACATTGTAGAGAACTGTCTTGATGAGATCCAGTCGACCAACATAGCTCAAATGCTTACCAGACCAGGATAGAAGTCTTGATTTATGAAGCTTTTTTATACCTCTAAGAAGATTAGATTTTAGTTAGGATAAACTATAAAAAACGGTCACTGGATTTTGGGACATTAGTGTTTTAAGTATAAAAAAATTTAAAATATCTAATACAATTATTAAATTTTTAGTTAGTTTCCATTATGATCACTAGCATTAGTTGCAGGATATCGAAATAAACTTGTAGGCTCAAATTTTCTTCTGCTTTGTATTAGTAGGAAAAATTTAATCCGTAGTAGATAGAGATGACATACATGTACAATTTTGTAGATTTTGTATCGTATTTACTCCAATTAAGGCAGGATGTGTACAAGTTTAATGGGTAGTTGGCAATGGCAGATGTACTCTTGGGTGAGGGTGGGCATGAAATAAGAATTTTCTTCTAAAATTTAGGTATAATTTCAAAATTATTCTTTAAATCATAAGATTTTATAGGATGTGACTTACAATTTAGAAAAATATTAAGGTACATGATAGGTTATAGATATCCAATTGAATAATGAATGTAAGAGCGAATTTAAGATATATTCATATGAACTTGTATGAATTTAAATTTTTTATCCTTAATAGATAGTGGATAGGTGATAAATATAAAAACTTTAAATTGATATGAGAATGAAATATATATATATCCACATTCATCCCTTCATTTTAGGATACTAGAGGTCACCTCTAATGTTGGAGAAGTTTTATCGTGCGGCAGTTTTAATATACAGTTAAGGAATGAAGCTATCGGTTTTGTTATTATTTTTTTAACAAAATCGGTAAAAAAATTACTTAAAATATTATTATTTCTACCTAAAACATTAATGTTTTTAATATTTCCGGTAAAGTGTTCAATAATAACAAAACTGATAGAAAAAAATAATGTTTTAGGTAGCTCTTTACCGGATATATTAACAAAACCGGTAAAGCGCCTAATAATAAAAAACCGTAAAAATAATAATATTTTCAGTAATTTTTTATCGATTTTATTAAAAAAATAAAAAATAAAACCGATAATATATTTCCTTAATAATATATTAAGACTGTCCTTATCGTAAATTCAAGGTTGGGCCTGATTTTATTTTAGTCTGCATGTTTAGTGACGGACGAATGAATCTCTATAGTTTTTCAACTCACTCGATCCACGAGGTCAACAATTCCCTTAATTTATTTTTTTATATATTTTAAATGGGAACTTTAAATTTCACTTTTATTTTTTCTCGAAATTATAAAATTATTAATGATTACCCATTTATATATGATGAATTTTTCAAGATACTTCTCTATGGTTCTCTTTTCCTGCGTATCTTCATCTTTCCTCTTAATTTGGCTCTATTTTTTAAATTAGTTTTCTAAAGAACAATAATAAATATAAACAAACTAATAAACGAAAACAATAAATTAAAAAAATTTTATAAAATTTGATTTCAGAATAATTCAGTAATAAATTAAAAACTAATAGTATTATAAAAAATAAATAAATTCATAAGGTGGATAGAATTTATTACATCATTATTTTAAAATTTAATTAACATAATTAATCATCATCTTGACATTAATTCAAGCTTGACAGTAATATAATTGAAAAAAGGATCTTCCAAATTTCTCAATGAAAGAATTCGATGCAATGCAATTTTTACCTTTGAAGTTGTGAGCACCATTTTCTTATTTTAATTAAAACCCATGCTAGTGTCCATGTTCCACTAGACCCTCCCATGCCCCACGTGAAATACTCTATTTTTGCCCATACTTTGTTGTTACACACCGACATCCCACCACTATGCTATGTCTCCTCCACAGATTCAATCCATCCACGCCCATACCTCCATAAATTCCAAGCAAGCTCCACGCCCATATGCTCCAACACGACCACCAACGCCCCACTCACCTGCAAAAACAGAACAAAGGAAGTGGAATGTTTTTTATTTGGTTGTAATTGGGTATTTAACCCAAACAAAGATAATGTAAATAGGATTCGGAAATCCTTGCAAAAAGACACTGTAAACTTCATTCTCAGAAATAAATCAAGAACAGAAAAAAATTTACGAGCAAAGAGGTACTTTATTTTTTCTGGTTTATCATTTCAACTATAGGAATGCAATAAGAAAAATATAGTTAAATTCGTAGTTAGTTATTTGTTTATGCAAATTTACGAGTAAAAAAAATATGATTAGG